AAATATGAATCTTAATAAATGATAGTATTAATACAACTACATCAGACCAGCTGTCTCTAATACTTCTGCATGACTTTGTTGGAAGTGTATCCTCAAAAGTTTGTGGTTCCTGTATGTTTGAAAAGAAAAACTTCCCTTACACCATATAATCAGTCAAAGAATTGTTAAAAGCATTTCCAGTTCTGAAGCTTGCACTTCACCTGATGTTTTTTTCTCCTCTTCACCTTTGTTGGTTCAGTGGTTTACCGTCCAGATGAACTGATACGATAAACAGCTGAACCTTTGGTACAGTTCTTATTCCTAGCCTGCGCTCACCTCCAGCCAAGTATTTTACTCTAGGGCGGAGCTCCGCAAATAGGATGGTTTGTTTCTGTAAATGAAGTTTTCTTGAGTCAGCCATGGCCATAGTTTACATCTCGTCTTTGGTTGCTTTCTCACTACAACAGCGAAGTTGGGTAGTTGTGACAAACAGGATGATTTGTAAGCCTAAAATATTTACTGTCTTTTAAGAAAGTGCTGAGCTCGAACTAGGAGGAAAAGTGCTTGTTGGTTTGAGGGGCCGGAATCCTCACAAAGAGATTAGAACACCAAGGAAGTTTGTCCACCTTGCTTTTGCCTGTGCCTAGCTTGTTTAAATGCCCAATTGAGTATGGGTCAGAAATATTTTTGACTGGTTGGCTCATGTGGTGAACTGGGGAAGATAATTCAGAGAATCATATTTGCAACCCATTCTGCTTAAAATGCCCAGTTAGGAGATGAGGTTGTGAGTGCTAGCATTACTTTTAATTTCATAAGTGTGGTTTAAAATTGTTCATTTGCTAGTAAAGTACTACTACAAGTTCTCATTTTTTTTCTTGGTAGTATTTCATTGAAGCTTTAAGATAGGAGTTCTCAGATATTTAAAAAAAATCTTCTTAGGTAAGAATACATTTTTAGCAACTTACTTATAAATGTATTACGACTGTCAGCTTAGGACTGTTCTGAAATATTAGTTTTTAGACTTTGTACCTGTCTCTCCTTACAGGGGATATGAAAGGTGAAGTCTATCCATTTGGCATAGTTGGGATGGCCAACAAAGGGGATTGCCTGCAGAAAGGGGAGAGTGTCAAGTTCCAATTGTGTGTCCTGGGCCAAAATGCACAGACTATGGCCTACAACATCACACCCCTGCGTAGGGCCACAGTGGAGTGTGTGAAAGATCAGGTAAGTGGTAGTATCTCTGGGTCTGAACTTGACCCTTTTACTCATCGGTACACAGTAATCACCAGAATCTTGAATTTTTTTTAGCCAAGGGAGAACCGTCAATATTCATTTCTATTTTTTTCAGTGATTTGAGATAGCTTGTAAAAATATGAAGAAAACAACATGAAAAGGATAAAAATGGGGATATGAGCAAAAAAAGTTAAGAGTGCTATTGATAACCTTACATGACAGGGGAAATAAGTTGGGAATGAGATTTTTCAGAATAGAAAGACTGTAAGATTTTGTATAGTTTAGCTTAGGACTTCTTTTGCAGACCCCACAAAGAAAGAAGACATCTGTAAAGTGTTCATAAAATGAAGTTAGGACAAACAAAACTGTTCCTCATATTGAAATCTCCATATGACTTTGCTCATAAATTCAAAACCTTTGATACACTGCATGAAGACACAAGGCAATCTATGTTTCAGGCTGTGATCCACTGAATGGCAGTGCTTTCAAAGATCCATTTCTTCCTTGACAAGTTTTTCAGACCCATATGCTGTTACATTACAGCAATGAGCAGTTAAACTGCAGCATTAATACCATGTTTAATAAATCCCTTTCTAGTTAGGGTCAGGCATTGTGCTTCATTCACAGTGAGGTACTTTCCCCTGTAGTGTGTCCTGTTTTTAGTTACTGTCTTTTTTTTTCTTTTTTCTTTTTTCCCCACCTCGACGCCACCCCCCCACCCCCACCCCAGTTTGGCTTCATTAACTATGAAGTAGGAGATAGCAAGAAGCTCTTTTTCCATGTGAAAGAAGTTCAAGATGGCATTGAGCTACAGGCTGGAGATGAGGTGGAATTCTCAGTGATTCTTAATCAGCGCACTGGCAAGTGCAGTGCTTGTAATGTGTGGCGAGTCTGGTGAGTTTTATTGTTGAATTGGTAAATTCCCTGGACTGTCTTTAAACTTGCATAAACTCTGGTTTATCACACTTTTTCACTTTTCATTACTGCTCTTTTTATCTTGCCACTTTTTGGCTATTTCTTGATCTTTCCTGTGTACTTTTTTTTTTTTTTTAATATGTTTGGTTTTTTTTGAAAGAGTACAAGTGGGGGAAGGACATAGAGGGAGGTTGAGGCTCTCTGTGTGCTGACTGCAGAGAGCCCGGTGCAGAGCTCATACTCCAACCATGAGATCATGAGCTGAGCCGAAGTCTGACCCTTAACCAACTGAGCCACCGAGACACCCCTCCTGGGTCTTTTTTACCTCTAGTCCTCATTGTCTAAATTTTAGTCTTAAAAATCTGGCCTAGTGAAACATTAATTGGGTACATTCTATGTAATAGAACTTAAAAATAATAAGGTTATCTAGTCCTTCAAGGATTCTGCTTAGCTTTTTCTTCCATTAAACTATATGTTGCTTAAAATTCTAACTATAGTTTAGCCATGCTGTCTCTGTGCTTTTTAAAATTTTTTAAATCTGTAACATTACCATGAGAGGAGCTGGGAGTCTCTTGAAATATTTCATATTTAATTTTTCTAAGCTTTTTCATATCATACTACCTTGTCTTGTATGTCTGTGGAACAGGTTTTTCTAGTTGCAGACCAGTCCAGGGATGACCCTCACCCAAGTGATTCTCCAGTCCCTCCACAGGGATGGACCTTGAGTTAGGAATCAAAATAGAAATAAACTTGTCTGTCCTGTCTTGCTAGCTAGCTGGCCAGATGATGAGGCAAGAGTCTCCTCATTAAAACTGAGTCATTTGGGTAGTTAGATAGAAAACATACTCCTCTGCAAGTACTTGCTTTCTTCCCACCAAGAGTTACTGCTTCTCACCTCTTGACTTCATTACAGCGAGGGCCCCAAGGCTGTTGCAGCTCCGCGACCTGATAGGTTGGTCAATCGCTTGAAGAACATCACCCTGGATGATGCCAGTGCTCCTCGCCTAATGGTTCTTCGTCAGCCAAGGGGACCAGATAACTCAATGGTAGGAGGGCATTACAAGGTTTTGGGGTAGGTGAGGGCAGCTGACAAACAACGTGCCTGTCAAGGTCCTATCTCAGCACAGCTCAGAGCTTAATGAAGAGGGGAACTTGAGTATTCTTTTTTCAGTATTCAGTATGCTTATGGCTAGTTAATAAAACTCCATACACATTGGTTCAGCCCCTAACAGTAAGGATTGTGGCTCACAGTAAGCAGCACATTTCTTGGTCTTCCTGATCCTTTGAACATAATCCAGGTAATAAGTAGATCAGGAGGGCTTATTAGGGACTTCCTCTTCTGGGAAAAAAGTGGTGGTGGTTATGATGATTAAAAGTAGTGCTTTTGTATTCATTAACTGTAATTTTACTTCTTCACAGGGATTTGGTGCAGAAAGAAAGATTCGCCAAGCTGGTGTCATTGACTAACCACATCCACAAAGCACATCATTAATCCACTATGATCAAGTTGGGGGGATTTTGGTGAAGGGTTCTGAATATCTCCCTCTTCATCCCTCCCAAAATCTGGAATACTTATTCTATTGAGCTATTACACCAGTTTTAACACCTTCCTTGTGTTATGTTTAAAAAAAATAAATAAATTTAAGAAAACCATTTTAAAATTATGCACAGTTGCAGCCTGGAAAACTTAAGGTGGCGCCTTATAGTATCAATTTTAGGAGCTTTATTTGGTGCATTTAACGCAACTGGTAATTGCAAAATCCACTTCGCCTGTGTAAGTGAAAAATATAGACTGTTAATCTTGTTGGCCCTATGAAATTCTGCACTTGGTATTTAGCATATACTCTACCTTCATTAATATCTGGCAAGATGTTCTGCCTTAGCACTCAGTTGCGTTCTTTTCCTTTTCTTTCCTATTCATTATGCTTTAATTCTGAGGACCATATGAGGGTAGACTATATTAAAAATTACAAAAATTTGTATAGGCAAACCATTTCCTTAAGTTGATGGCCAAATGTTAAAATGTTATTTTTCATATCATTTATAATCTTGTCACAGTCCACTTAACGAAGTTTGGTTAGATTTCAGTGAAAATTATCTTCCAGAGTAGTTTTTTTTTTCCTGGGATTGGGGAGGGGGGTAACGTTACTACAATTAGTATGTATGGTGCAGAATTTCATGCAAATGAGGTGTGCCAGCAGTGTGGTAATTTAATCGTATTTAAACAAAAAAAAAAAAAAAAACGAATGCACAAACTTGCTGCTGCTTAGATCACTGCAGCTTCTAGGACCCAGTTTCTTTTACTGATTTAAAACAAAACAAAACAAAACAAAAAAAATAAAAAAGTTGTGCCTGAAATGAATCTTGTTTTTTTTATAAGTAGCCGCCTGGTTCCTGTGTCCTGTGAAATACAGGCACTTGACCCTTGGTGTAGCTTCTGTTCGACTTTGTATCACGGGAATGGATTGGTCTGATTTCTTGGCCCTCATCTTGAATTGGCCACATCCAGGGTCCCTGGTCAGTGGACTGAAGGCTTTGTCTAAAGAGGACAAGGGCAGCTCAGGGGATGTGGGGGAGGGCGCTTTTATCTTCCCCGTTGTCGTTTGAGGTTTTGATCTTCTCTGGGTAAAGAGGCCGTTTATCTTTGTAAACACAAAACATTTTTGCTTTCTCCAGTTTTCTGTTAATGGCGAAAGAATGGAAGCGAATAAAGTTTTACTGATTTTTGAGACTCTAGCACCTAGCGCTTTCATTTTTGAAACGTCCTGTGTGGGAGGGGCGGGTCTGGGTGCGGCCCGCCGCGTGACTCCCGGGTCGGGGGCCCACGTGGCCGGGGCGGGGACTCGGGCGCCCCGGGCGCCGACTGATTACGTAGCGGGCGGGGCCGGAAGTGCCGCTCCCTAGTGGGGGCTGTTCATGGCGGTTCCGGGGTCTCCAGCACTTTCTCCAGTTGTCCCACATCAGTCGGAAGCGGAGGCCGCGACGCTTGAGGTAAGGCTCTGTGGTGCGTAGCGCTCGTGTCTGCAGCGAACCGGCGTCTCGCCGTTGCCAGGAGCCGAGCGGAATCTGCGGGCTGGAGACAAAGGCCCTTGGGCGGGGGTCCTTCGTTTTGAGCCCTGCGGGGGAGATCTTCGAAGACAGGCGGGGGAGGAGGCCGGGAGGCTGCTCCCCCGGAGCCCAGAAGACTTGGGGGGAGGAGTAGGAAGGGGGTTCCTTTACCTTAGGCTGAGGGCGGGGCCCGAGGACTGTTGAAAAATACAGAAGGGTGGGGGCCGCCAGGAGACGGGCCGGCGTCCGAGGCCCGCAGTAACCCTCCCGTGGCTTTGCGCTCCTGAAGTCCCTTCGCGGGCCAAGTGCAGGGTCATGTGGACGGAGCCCACACACTTCAAACTCCGGCTTTAACTTCCTATTGATTATAGAAAGCTTTGAGGTTCTGTACTTGTGACTCGCCGGTTAACCCTCACTGCCGCTCTCCCGCAGGTTCTTGCTGCTGTGAAATGACTGAGTACAAACTGGTGGTGGTTGGAGCAGGTGGTGTTGGGAAAAGCGCACTGACAATCCAGCTGATCCAGAACCACTTTGTAGATGAATATGATCCCACCATAGAGGTGAGGCCCAGCGGTGGGGCGCCGACCCTGCCTCTGGCTTCTGGCTCACCCTTACCCTCATCCTGTAGCTTGCTGTTTAGCCAAAGGAATTAACCAGGAGACGGAAGTAAAAGTTACTTTGGGTACTGCGTTCGGCAGTACGATAAAGCTTTCCAGGTTTGCGGAGAAGGGTTCATTTTTATTAGCTGCTAACGATTTTCTAAAACGTAGGCAGGTCAACAGTTCAGTAAACTGTTGCATCTGGAACGCCTGTATGACAGCTCTGCTAAAAAGAAACAGGCGGCAGGAAGAGTGACCGAGGAATAGGATGGAGATAAAGGGTTCAGAGATCTGGATATTCTGCAGTTTTCATTAAAAGTTGAAGCTGCTGAGACGGCTGGAGTGGAAAGAACATGAGATTTTGAGTCACTACCTAGATTTCTTTCAGTCCCCGTTTGTAGTTTATTTAGTTATGTATATTGAACAAAACACTTAAACTCTCTGAGCCTCGTTTTCCTCATTTATTAAATTACCATAAACATGCCCTGCCTATCACACCCAGGGATGTTGAGAAAAATCAGTACGTTTACCTTTTTTGTGTGAGCCTGTGTTACAGATTGGCTTGAATAAATGGCATCTGAGGTCTTTTAAATAAAAGGCTTTGTAATTTTATTCAATTTAGAAATATCTGCCTAGAGATTGTTTTATTTTAATCCACGCCCTGATCTCCCCCCCCGCAGCTGAGTGTTTAATAGAAGCTAACATAGCCATTATTAAAAATTAGTCATTAAGTCCTCAGCAAAATTTTATTGAAGCTTAACAGCTTTAGTGTTAATAGAACCTTTTAATATTTTTCCGAGTTTTAGTTTTTGAAGGGTAATGTACATACAGTAAAATTCACAAATGTATCTACAGCCTAGTGACTTAAAATTTGTATTTAAAGTACTTCTATAACCACCGCTCAGAAATATAGACTGTTTCCAGTACTCCAGAGAGTTCTCCCACGTCCCTTTCCAGTTAGTACACCCCCTCCCTGCCAGGAAATAACCGTTTCTCTCTGACTTCTGTTATCCTAAATTAGTTGGACTCAAATCTACTTTTAGAGTTTTAATTTTGCTCATTTCCTCGGAACACTCCTACACTTATATTTCGTACTTCAAGCGAGCTTTGGCGGTGTGAATTCTATGTTAATTTGAAAGTATGTTACAGTCCCGCAGTGAAGTCGAGTTACAGAGGCACTGATCAATGAATGAACTGCGAAACCAGCTCGCATTTGTATCTGGAGCTGGATCTTTACCAGGTGTGATGGGTGGTTTTCTTTGAACAGAGTTCTCAAAATATAAGCATTAAATAATACAAGTAAGATTTTTGCTTTAGAGGCAAATTGAAGCCATGTATATATTCTATGCATGTCTGTCTTTTTGAGGAATTATAACTATATACAGTAAAACCTTGGTTTGCGAGGTTGCTTCGTTCTGGAAACATATTTGTAATCCAAAGCACTTGTGTATCAAAACGAATTTCAAGAACCATTGCCTCAGTTGTGATCATGTGACATTCAGCATCACGTACTGCTTGTATTGCAAGACCTCTCTAGTTTATCAAGTTAAAGGTTAGAAATGTTTACTCGTCTTGAGGAAGACTCACAGAACAAGTTACTTGCAATCCAAGGTTTTACTGCCCCTGGTTTGGAATCTTTAGAAATTTTATTCAGGAATATTTTCTAAAGGTAAGAATCCACTAATGATAAGAAAGATATATTTGTGTTTATCTTGTCTGAAAGAAAAAGTATCTGTGTGTTTAGTCATAAACATGCATGATACGGTGTCCAGCGCCTGGGTAATTGGTGGAAGTATGTTTATAGTTTAAATGTGCGATAAACAAGAAAAGTCCAGTTTATACCTTAGTAAAAGAACTCTGGACCTAATCTTTAGGCTAGCTGCTGCATAGCTTGTCTTTTGAATTACCAAGTTTTTTTCATCTTTTCTAGGAACAGTGTAACCACATTTTCCTTTCTTCAGGCGTGTAGGCCTTTTTCCTAGAGTGACATTAAGTACTTTCTGTTTGTGATTCTGTATTAGGAGTTTGAGGTACAAACCAGAGAGATGGAAATAAACTTAGGTAGGAGCTTATCTGACTTTGGCAATAGCATTACGTTCCCTGTGGTATCTAATAAAAATGAAATCTTCCTCTCTCCTTGCCGTCTCCCACCCTCCGCACCCCCAGGATTCTTACCGAAAACAGGTGGTTATAGACGGTGAAACCTGTCTGTTGGACATACTGGATACAGCCGGTCAAGAGGAATACAGTGCCATGAGGGACCAATACATGAGGACAGGCGAAGGCTTCCTCTGTGTATTTGCCATCAATAATAGCAAATCGTTTGCAGATATTAACCTTTACAGGTACTAGGACCATTTTTTATTCTGAAAGGACAATCGATAAGTGTGTTCTGAAGCTTTGGGAGGGGGTGAAGATGCCACACCCGGAAAGATAGCATTTTTAATTATAAAGAGAGTTGGTTCGAGGTTGTTTAACACTGAGGATCTGGGGTCATAACTGGAAGTTAATATTGCGATTTATTTTATATAATGCACTGTGGCCACAATGTGTGATAATACTTAAAATGAAGCCTCCTAATGGGATGATTCAGGACCCGAGGTGGTGGTAGAGATCCCAACGGAATTTCAGAGACAAAAACACCTCTGAGAAACAGTCATCAGTACATAAGGGAGAAAATGCTCAGAAGAAATGAACGGGGAGTAAAGAAAGATGAAAGGTGGTCTTTCTGGAAAGAACCATAAAGTTGCAAAGCTCAGTCAGACCATAAAAAATTCTAGTACAACCTTCTTGTTTTACAGAATCAGAAATAGAGTTCAGAAGATGTTTTGTTAGGTTTTTAGAGTCATGGTTGTTATTGGTAGCAGAGCCAGGACCAGAAACCCAGGGCTCCTTTTTCTTAGCTCCATGTTCTTTGAGCAGAGTAACGTGACAGGTTGAAACTTGGCTTCATCATCTACTAGCCTTGAGACTTCGGGGCAAACTACCAAATATTTCTTCATATCTATAATATGGAGGTAATAGTACCTACCAAGAGTTGTTTAGAAAATTAAACAGGTTAATGTAATGTGTTAATCACCCAGAAAAGTGCCTAGCACACAGTAAATGTACGAGTGTTCTCTACAGCCTGGACTCTTGTGGCTTATCATGCTCCATCCATATGAAGATGTCTGCTGGTGGGAACAGACTAGCCCAGAAAAGTCACTCAGTAGGGAGAGTGGTTCTGGTTCATTCAGTCTTTTTCTTTCTCTTTTTTACCTCTCTTCTCTTTTCTTCCTCTCTTCTCTTTTCTTCATTCCTCCTTCCTTCTTTCCTTTCTTTGAGTGGAAGCAGAGGAGGGGCAGAGGAAGAGAGAGGCAGTCTCAAGCAGGCTCCACCCCCAGCACAGAGCCCTAGTGCAGGGCTCAGTCTCAGAACCTGAGCTGAAATCAAGAGTCAGACGCTTAACTGACTGAGCCACCCAGGCAACCCAGAAACCAACTAGTCCAAAACTGAGTTTGGTGGGGGTCTTTTCTGCTTAAACCTGCTCTACTTTCCATTTGCTGTCTGGAAGTAATAGCAGTACATAATAAAATGTCCAGTACTTGGCAAGCACCTAATATCGAGTTTCTAGAAGTCGTTTTTCCTTTTAGGCTGTCTTGTCTTATATTATCCTTTAAAATAGCCCACTGCCAGTACACCAAAGGTCAGTTCTGCAGACAGTGTAAGGAATTTTAGGTATATGACTTTGTTTGTAACCCAAGGGTAGAGTCTGGAGCAATGCTGTGCAGTGTGGTAGCTACAACATTATGTGATTATTTCAATTAAGGAAAGTTAAATATAATTGAAAGATCAGTTCCTTGGCCACAAAACAGCTGACTTCTCAGGTGTTCAACAGCTACACATGACTGGTGGGTATAGTTGGACAGTACAGGTAGAGAACGTTTCCTTCATCATGAAAAGTTGTATTGGACAGTGCTGGTCAAGAGGATCTAGAGCAGTAGTTCCCACGCTGCCGTGTGGTATGCGTTACTGCCTCTGAAGGGGGTGCTGTAAGTTGGGGGTTCTGGTGTTTTCTATTTTATATCTTAGACTTCCAGTGATCGTATTGCTTGAAGAAAATGTTTGGGCATCACCCATCTAGAGAAGTGGATAGACTTTCATTAGATACTGTTACTCTCAAGGAAACTTGAAAAAGTTATTTTGAGGCAGTAAGCTTTACTTTTTATACTTGAGATCTTAATCTAGAGGGTGATTTCAGGTTGCCGGTTAAATCAGAGCCAAGCTCTGTGGAGAATGAAGGAGCCTAATGGGTGTGCGGCGAGATAGAACAGGTGTCCATGCCCAGCAGAAGGTGGACCAGTACTCGGCAGCCTTAGGGCTGCTGTGTCTAAGCCAGGCCATCATTACGCATGGTCTTTTAGAATTCAGGCGGGGGGGGGGGGGGTTGGGACTCAGTACTAGATCAATACTAGCAGCTAAGAGGGCTAGATAAAATTTGTTGTTTTTCTATCTGTTCCTTCCTTCCCAAAAACTTACCCTTAAGTAATGAGAACCTATTCCTTTTTTTTTTTAGAGAACAGATTAAGCGAGTAAAAGACTCAGATGATGTCCCTATGGTGCTAGTAGGAAACAAGTGTGATTTGCCAACAAGAACCGTCGACACAAAACAAGCCCACGAGCTGGCCAAGAGTTACGGGATTCCATTCATTGAAACCTCAGCCAAGACCAGACAGGTACAGCCAGGCTTTGAGCGTCTGGCAAGCATTCGTTTAAGGCACAAGAGTTTGATTGCCAGAGATAATGATCTGCATTCTTTGTTGTTATGGAATTTAATACTGTTTTTTATTCATTAGTTTATTTTTTAATTTGTTTAATGTTTTCATTTATTTTTGAGAGAGAGAGAAACAGCTTGAGCAGGGGAGGGGCAGAGAGAGAGGGAGACACAGAATCTGAAGCAGGCTCCAGGTTCTGAGCTGTCAACACAGAGCCCGACACGAGGCTGAAACTCACCAACCATGAGATCATGACCTGAGTCTTTAGTCGGATGCTTTACTGACTGAGCCACCCAGGCTCCCTCTTAATCATTAGCTTCAACCCAAAATGAACTGATTAATATTTTGGTGTGTCATTTTCCTCCCACATTAATATGCACAAGTCTTAACTAAAATGAAGACCCCTGATTAAAGATAGTTACAAACGTTAGACCTTCCACCATCAACACCAACCAGCGTTTGGGGCTTTTGCTCTCCTGAATGGAACCTTTAGATCTGGTCATTCTGTATGTCCCACGTTACCCATTTACCTGTGCTTGAGTATAATTTTTGCAAAATTTGCCATTTGTATAGCTCAGGTCTGTTGATGTGATTCAGTAAAAAATGCTAAATTTGGTGTCCTCAAGAAGTACAAATGAGAGAGTTTACTACTTGGATTGTGTCTATTAGGCCGCCTTTATCATTTTCTTTCATAGGGCGTCGAAGATGCCTTTTACACGCTGGTAAGAGAAATACGTCAGTACCGAATGAAGAAACTCAACAGCAGTGACGATGGGACTCAAGGTTGTATGGGGTTGCCGTGCGTGGTGATGTAACAGGTGAGCATGTGGCCTCTTGACAGCAGAATCCTACATTTTATTATTTAACAGCGGGCAGTTTGGAGGAGGTTGCTATTATTTTTTCTGTGTTGCTATTTATCTGAGAGTGCCTGCTTGCTCACAGCTGTAACATACTTTCCTTACAGTACCCTTTTGGAGAGTTACCAAAGTCGAAGCTGCTTTTGAAGCATTTAAGTATTTTATAGGCATCATTATACTTCCAGTAACAGTAGAAACTAGAAGACAATGTTATGAAATGAAATATGGAACGGGAAGTTCCATATTCTTGCACTGATTAGGAATTTGAAGAATCACAACATCAGAACTAGATTATAGAGACGCTTGGGTGGCTCAGTTGCTTGAGCGTCCGACTTCAGCTCAGGTCATGATCTCATGGTTCGTGGGTTTGAGCCCCGTGTCGGGCTCTGTGTTGACAACTAGCTCAGAGCCTGGAGCCTGTTTCAGATTCTGTGTCTCTCTCTCTTACCCTCCCCTGCTCACGCGGTGTCTGTCTGTCTGTCTCTCTCTCTCTCAGAAATAAATAAAACATTAAAAAAAAAAAAACATAGATCACAATGACATGGTGTGTGTTCTCTTCCTACAGATAACTTTTAAAGTTCTAGCATCAGAAAAGAGCCACTTTCAAGGTAGGACAAGCTTGGAAGTGAAACGTATTCTTGTTCGTGTCGATTGTTTTAGCCTTGTTTTTCTTAGAATCTCTACGTGCCATTTATACAGAGTCTGTCTTTATTTTAGCTGCACTGACACCCTGGCCCTGACTTCCCTGGAGGAGAAGTATTCCTGTTGCCATATCTTCAGTTTCGCAGAGAAGCTCTGCTATTCCCCAACTCTCAGCAGATCAGTATATTATTCTCTCTCTGAGAAGCTCTCCGAATAACTACCTCCTCACTTGGTTGTCTGACCAGAGAAATGAACCTCTCGTCACCCCTCCACCCCATATCCCCCAGCACACACACAGGTCTCCCATAGTTCTTCATCTGAAAAGTAATTCACGCTCTGGAACAGAGAACCAAACTGTAGACATGAAATTCTGTAGGGCACAATGTCTTGAGCTCTAAAGTAGCAACTGCTGGTGACTTTTTTTTTTTTTTTTTTTTTTTTTTTTTTACTGTTGAACTTGGAACTATGTTGGTTTTTGGAGAAATGTTATAAGTTACTGTTTTGCTGAGAATAGAGTTACGTTTGCCATTCGGTTTGTTTGTAATGTTGCTGGCTATATTCTGTAAATGGGCATCCACTCTGCATTCCTGGATACAAACGTGAATTCTGACTCTGGAGTCGGTCTACCCTAGTGTTCTCAGCTTTCACGTAATTAAATCTAACTTTTGCAGCAAAGTGCCTTTTTCCTAGAAGTGGTTTGTAGATTTGCTTTATAATACTTCGGTGGAATAGATGTCTCTCAAAACCATCATACGTGAAAACGAATGTCTGAGATACATCTATGATCCATCTACCTTGAAGGGAAAGATCTACCCATGTGCTAGCAGATGCCACGTCTTACGTGTGTGAAGTTGGATCTCCAGGGACCTGATTTGGGTCTCTTTCAAGAGAAAGATGAAACTGGAAACAATTACGAATAACTCCACTTAGTTTTTACCTAATCTGTACTGTGGGGCGGGGGGCAGGGGGGTAGGTTACCACTTACAAAATATATGCAATTTGTTTCTTCTAGCTTACTGATCATGAACTTCCATTCATCTCTAAATTTAGGTCATATCTGAAAGCTTTACGTTTGCAGGTGTTCGAAATCGTAAGTTTAATGGCATTTTATTTAACAGCTATGATCAATGATTTTCAAGCTTTAGATGTATCAGCAGACACTTTCACTGCGTATCATACTTCATTGATGTGTATTTTAACTGCCCTCATTCCCCTTCTCAACCCACCGCAGTGGCGGCTTGGTTATTTCAGTTGAGTAAAGCCTGGTGCTGACAGACCAGGGTCACGATTTCAAAACTTGAGTAAGCCGCTTAGCATCACAGAGGGAGATTTTCTCCCACGTTTGCTCATTGCACCAGTAAACTCCAGCTAGTAGTTTTGCCAGATGAGAACTGTTAGTCCCGCAAGGAAAGAAGAGGTCAGTTAGCACAAATCCTTTACCGTGACTGGAAAATCCGGCCATCGTGAAGGGCAGCTTAGAAGTTTTTATAAATAAAATCTCTAGACTATTTTTTAGCCATGTGGAAACTGAATTAAAGCCAATATTTTTTTCTCAGTATTTTGAGAACGAGGATGCCTCAGATCAACATTTTTAAAATTTTCTTTATTCATGATGTTCTTTGAAAGGGTTTAAAACTGGACGCTGATGAATTAGTCTGTGCATCCCAGATAATAAGCTGATGAGTTTGTTCAGAAAAGAAGTAGCCTTTCTATTGAAATTGCTGTTTGAGAAGGGAATGGACAGTTGAATTCATTGTTAGTTGGGAGGGTTTGGAGGTACGGCTTTTCCATTTGTAGGTAATTTCCTTGTAATTCCAATGAAAACGAGATTTGGATAGCTTTTGATAAGAGATTAGTTCCAAAATGGCCACTCTCTGTTTGGTCTTCTGATGTGTAAATACTTTGTGAGGTCCTCCGTCTTCATTTAAGGAGACTCCACGTTGTCTCTAAGTGAGTTCAGAGGAGGGGAAGAAGCCCAGAGAGTGTGTCCCTGGTGCTGATTTTGAGGGCTTTCACAGCAGCTGCAAACAGGAAGCCTGAGGCTTGTCTCTGCTCCTTTTGGAACATTGATGTGTGGCTTTCCTGAGGGTTGATTGAGTCCTGTCACCCCAGTGGTCGTCATCGTCATCATCTTCCACCCCTTCCTCCTCTTCTCGTCCATAGGACTGACAGTCTGACCCAAGTTTAAGGAAAAAGATACTCATTTTAGCCCTTATATGGATGTACCTTACAGTTTTTCCAAGTGTGTTCTAAGCACAGAAGTGTCCAAACGGCCAAAATTCAGACTTGAAGATGGTCTTTTAATAGCTTGTTAAGAAGTTACACATACGTGTGAATTTTGGCACAATAGAGTGACAGACTTACAGTTAAATGCTGAGTAGCTTCGGTGGGTGTGAAAGTGTGGCTGTTGAGAATTTGTTTGCGATTGCTGAAAACAGTGCTAGTTTACCTCAAAATCTGAAAAGTCTCTTCCCCCCAAGTAAAGTGCCTGGCCAGCTGTCATGAGTTATGTACTACTTTATGTGTGTTTGTGTTTTAAGGGTCGCACGCCCAGGAGTGTGAAAATCCGATGTTCTATCTGAAGGCTACCGTGCCTGGTCTGTGAATGAAACTGTCAAGTGCTGTATTTGCTCCAGCAGCTTATTCTAGAATGTTACTTGGTAATATAATACCCTACTTCCTACGGTCTTCACTTTAGTGTAATAGCTAAGATTATTCTCAGTATGTGTTTTAGTGGGCCCATGCTTAGTCTTTCATCATCCCTTAAACTGCTGTGAATTTTTCGTCTGACTTGAAAGCAAGGATGGAGGACCCTTTTAAGAGATCTTTTGGTTTTTTCCCATTCCAGAACTTGCGAACACAGTCACGTTTTGCTTTTACATTTACAGTCATTAACTCTCAAGCTGGCAGCTACAACCAAGAACCAAAAAATGGTGCATTCTGCTTCTTGTAATTCATCTCCGCTAATAAGTTATAAGAAGCAAGGATAATTAATTAGGGAAAAGATTTTCTGTAGGTGGTTTCCATAAGCAAGGGACTATAATTCTTGTACGTTTTGTTTCATCTTTGCTGTTTCTTTAATCAGTCTTATGGGCCACAAAATGGTCTTTAAGGCGTTTCTGTTAAGAATTGTTTTCAACGTGTTCTCGTTATCAGAGTAGTTATAGGTAGGTTTCAGAATATAACTGGGGGATTTTTAAAGGCCTGAGTACTGACCTAAGAAGTAACTGGATGAATTCTACTCTGGAGGGAGGGGAGGATCTCAATGAAAGTTGTATGACTTTTATATTTCTGTGCCATCGGATATAGGTAAAAATACCAATTGTGCAATTCTGCTGTTTAAACAGACCTATTGGCCTCCTTGGCCCTAAATTAAGGGGCTGGTATTTTAAGTTGACTATTTTATTGTAAATTAATCCATCCTAATTTTTAAAAATTTGGTTGAATGTTTTTCTTGTTAAATGTTTAAAAAATAAAAACTGGAAGTTCTTTGCTTAGTCCTAATTCTTTTTTCTACTGAAGTGCCTTTATTGAAAGTTAATTGTAGATTTAGTTGTTTTTTTAAATCAATTTTATTTCTATTCATTTTGAGAGAGACGGAGAGAGAGTGTGCAGGGGAGGGGCAGAGAGAGAGGGAGACAGAACACCGAGCAGGCTGCCCGGTGTCGAGCCCCATGCAAGGCTCGAACTCACGAACTGGTGAGATCATGACCTCAACTGAAATCAAGAGTCACATGCTTAATCGACTGAGCCACCCAGTCGCCCCTACTTTTAGACTTTTCGGTGTGACATTTGGACAGTGTTCAAAGATCTGAGTTCCTCATTTTATCTTCGTGTAAGATACGTCAAAGCCTTGCTTTTAAACTATTACCTTGGGGGGGCGGGGGTTGTTCATCGCCATGATCCAAAGCTCTCTGTGAGACCTTAACGTATTAACATGAGGTGCTTGCAACTATCTTTGGAAATACTTTTTCCTGTTTTCACACTTAGCGCACAGTCTGCCTACCAGTCTTGGTATCATTAGAACATAGTCCCAGGAGCCCAGGAACGTGGCTTCCAACTGTAACTTTGCTACCTTGGCCCATAGTTTCTTCATTTGCAAAATAGGAAAGTTGAATTCGCACATTTCAGGTTTCCCAACCCTAATAAGGGAGATGTAGTTATAAAAAAAAAAAAAAAACGAAACAAAAAACGTCACACCTAGAATTTTCCACCTAACATTGAAATACTGTGATTGTAAGATTCTTGGCTTATTCTACCAAAGACCTCGTTTTTACTTTCACTTTTCCTTAAAAGGGGGGGGACAAGGAGGGATCTTGATAGTTGGCTGAATTAAACTTGAGGAAAACAAATTTAAATGACAAAATGTTTACTAGACAGAAATACTAGGACATAAACATTTTAAAATATAAAGTGTAAATGAAAAACAAAATTATGGGCTTTGTGTATCAAAGCCTTTACACCCTGTGCCTACAGTCATTTAATTTTTGCTAATATTTGATCCCTTGGTAACTGAGAAAGGAAAGTAGAAGCGATTGTTTTCTGGATTCTGCTGATGGCTGCTAATTCTGTTTGGTAGGATGAAGCTACAAAGAGATAAATGATGAAAAAGTAGCCGAAGAAGCTTGTTTGTGTGGAATATGCAGAGACCTCCTGTGGATCTCTGCTCTGTTAAGATTTCTGCCCTAGAACCAGCAATACTGAAGGTCATTAAAAGGATAACATAGTTACAGGAGTTATTTATATCCACATAAAGGGGTCAAGAGGCCAGGCTAGTGGCCACTTTGCAAAACCAAGACATTTCAGAGAGTCCCCAATGCCTGTCATGATTCTAGGATCAATGTCCAGTATCCAGGTGGGAAGAGTGTGCTTCGAATTGCTGTAAGGGTAAGTCTAGCCAATGAAATGTGGTCAGTCGAAGAAAACTGGAACTCTGGGAACATATGAAGTACAGGAAACAAATCCCCCTTTCAGAGCCAAAATGAGCATTAAAAGTTTTCAGATTCAGGAACTAGATGTAAACCTCATGAATTGATCATTCTTATCTGGAGAATTTATATTCGCAATTTACTTCGCACTTGCACCTAAATAGTTTACTGACCTGCATGTCCTTTTTCAATTTAAAAGCATGAGCTTAGTCTCTTCTGAAAATAGTAGTATGAATACAGTGTACCCTCCATTTACAGGCATATAGAAAGAGAACGAGCACTTACCCAATGTGGGGAGTTAACATGATATTAAATGTTTCTAAAGATAGAGGTGGCTTCCAGCCCAACTGCCTTGATGGGGGAGAATGTGGTTGGAACCGAGCAGGTGCCTCCTAGAGCCTTTAGGAGTCTGAAATACTATCCGAGTTAGGAAAAGAAATCTAGAATGGCTTTTGTGAACATGATAAAATTGGCACTGCTGGCCCTTTGTATTGGAGCTACAGATGTGCAAGTTTCATAGAATTTTCAAGTCTGAAAAGAAAAATTGTACAGTATTTTAAAACATCCTGGTACAAATTGATTCTCCACATTTACAACTGAGACCCAGTCTCCCTGATAGGTTCTTTTTTTCTAATCAATGGAATGAAGTTTAAAGACATCTCCAAAATTAGATCAAGAACTCTCATAAATTTATGCTTGTTTTGCCTGTGAATTTGAGGAGTCTGACATTTAGTAATTAAAGTCCAA